CATCTCATCAACATTGAAATTTTTACCATGCATATTGTCGCACTCTTTGCTAAGTTGCTCTTCTCTTAGTCCTTCAAAATGTTTTAATTAAGTCAGTATTAATAGCTTCATGTACATGGTATTGTCAACAACTAACCTGTAGCATTGGCTCTTTCTTCATGTCGAGATTTCTTTGCTGTAATCAAATTTTTTATAATCATTCAGTTTTTTTTGTTTCTTTGTCTTCATTATATGTAGCTTGCTAAGTAAATTAAGTGTATAATTTTAAGAATTTTTTCCTCATTTTTTGTAAAAATAGCGTTTTATTGTTTTATTTAAACTTACTTGACATGTGTTTGAATATAAAGTATGAAAAATTACTTATTTACCTGATAGAACATCTTGAATTTCTTTTCTTTCAATTGTCCTTCGTTTTCTCTCAATTTAGGGGGAAGATTAGGAATTTTGAATGGAGTTGACTTACTCAGAGGATCTAATCTAATCCAGGTTGGTGAACATGTATTCCTCAAATCGATGTTCACACAGTTTACAATTCTTGTAAAAATATTTTGCATTTTTTCCCAAAAGACCTTCACGATGACAATTGTTTACCCATTTTTCTGATCTGAAATGCAAAGAAGTGCTTGAAAACTTTATTGCCCAGGCAGCAATACATGAAATTTCAATCATACTTGCAAACAAAAAAATACGTTTTCCTCACTGGATCCTTTGGAAAATGAAAAAAACTTAAATCACGATGAGTTTGTTTGCCTTGAGTGAAGTTGATGGCAGCACAATTAGTTCTTGACCCATCCTTTAGTTTGTTGGCTTTTGCATTGAAATATTTTTTAAATGAATGACACAGAGAGAATAAACCAAAAACATTGCAATAACTGCTTAGCTTTCCAGCACAAAATGAATGGTGGTCGTTGTTACTAATTAAATATACAAATTCTCACAGCAAAAACTTTCCAAGTTCTTTATTAAAAAAAAAAAACAACTTTATTGGTTTTACAAACTTATACATATTTGACAAAAAATTAAGTGAAATTACAAATTTTCATTTGCAATGATGCAGATGCAAATTAAAATAACTAGTCAAAAAACCTGAATTCAAACGTCAAACATATAAGTACTTTAATGTTTTATAAAGATATTCATCCATATTCTAAAATGACTAGGTCTTTATCACAAAAACCTTCTTCATGCAGCAGTAGGTCGTGTAAAGCCAGCCATTAAGTAATAAATCCACTAACCATTCTATTAAGAAAATCTATATTAGAAAATAAAATGAAAAATAACAAGACAAAATACAATAAAAAAACCTTTATTAGTCCTAAACAACAAATATACTGGGAAATTGCCTTTCAATATGATACACGTTGTAATAACATTGATCTCGTTGTAAACAATACAATTCAATAAAAGAAACTTATAAAACCCGTAGAATACGAATAACGAACGTGTATTGTATTAGAAGTATGTATTAAAACAGAAAGTTTTAGAATCACATTTTGTATTAGGAAATTTATTATGATGAACTATGTAGGGACAATTATTATAATTTTTTGTGTAAAAATTGTTTCTTGATGTATTTAATAGTTTCTTTGATATCGTTAATAATAAGTTAAAGTGTTTTCCTACTTATAAAATCTTTTTATTGAATGTTTTTTTTGGTAAGCTTCAAGGTCACTACAGACAACTCCTTTCTTAATGACATAATATTCACAATAGATATTATATCATCCATTTTTACTAACATGTTTATCAACCCAATAATTACGCCAGTAATGAATGTAGCTTTTACCCATAATACTTTCAAAAAAAGCGTAACAATAATCAATTAGTGAAAAATCCCCCCAAGTACCAACATTACGACATTCTTCCCACATGATAATTTTGTAATATAATTTTATTTTATTGTTTTAAATGTTTTTTTAATTTTTAAAATGTTTTTTTAACAAACATTTTTCATTAAAATTCATTTCATTTTAATTTCTTCTAAAAATGGTAGGTACTATTTATACTCTAATTCTAATAAATTAATGTAGAAAAATCTTGTTTTATGTCTTTTCTAAGTTTTCATATCTTTTTCGATTTTTTTATACATTTCTTTTATATCAAACTCAAATTCCATTAGTTTTATAAATTCGTGAATTTTCTCTGCATTTTTCTTTTCCAATTTTTCTTTTTTGTTAATTTATTAATGGTTTTAGTTTGTTAATTTCATTAAAAACTTTTGAATCTACAGTAGATTCAATTTCAAAATACATACATTTTGTACACGACGATTGTTTACATTTTTTCTGGAGGAGAAAGACCATATGAATTAAAATTATATAATCCACCAATAGCAAGAGGCACCTCTTCAAAAAATCCACCTTTATATTTTAAAAGACCATGTGCATCCTTCATATAATAATTTTCTAATTTAAATGTTTGATTATCCATGTTTCTATAGTCAATTCCAATATCCTTATGTTCTATCATTTTTATTTCAAATTTAAAAACTTTTTTTCAATTTTTTTTAGTTTTTTATTTAAATTTTTTTCAGAATCTAAGGTGGTTTATCTAGATGTAAAATCTTTAAAACTTAATTCGCATCAATTATTTTTAAGTTTTCTTTCTTTTTGATTATCTTTATCTGCTGGTGGCATATCTTCCCATGGGTTTGAAGAAACAAGTGGTCTTTTCGCCATTGATAATGTTGAAATCTTCGATTAATGATTTAGATGTGCTTTGGAAGTCTTGGTGTCTAATTGATGATGAGTGGAAAATGTTCAAGTCAAAGTATAGTTTTTCCTATTACAAAATATTACAGTGTTGCTGTCTTCAAATATAATTTTAAGATGGAAAAGGTATTGGAAATACTGTTGCCGTCTTCAGGCGTAACTATATGATATATTTATATATATATATAAAATAAGATGTAGTACTTATTATGTATCAACTTTGAAGTCTGGCTGACATTTGAGTGCTAATTGCATAATATCATTTCTTGCTGGTAGTAATGGCAGATTGGCGCAGCAAAACTATTGTATTCATAACTGATGACGATGAAACATCGGATAAAGTGTTGCTGTCTTCAGATCGGAAAAAGCAATGTGGAGTTTTGAAATTTTTTATTGAAATATTTATTAAAGTATTAGAAAAATATTTGGATGAAAATGATGATAAACATCAACATTTTCGTTGTCACGTCGGCTTTATAAATCACGTTGGGTTTCAGGCAATTTCCATTTGTCGGGCATAGGTGTTTCTGTCTGCAGTTACAGTTCTGTGGGGGGTTGTTCTTGTTCTGAGTGGTTTCTGGGTTAAGTCTTTTTAAAATAGTCTTGTTGTGTCTGGTCATGAAAGCTTTCATATTTTCGCCACAGCTGTAGCTTACGCGTATTGTGTGTCGGTTGAATATCTTTGAGAGTATAGTATTTAGTGGGAAATGTTTTTCAATAAGTTTTCGTGGCTGGTGTGTGTTTTTACGTTTTTGCTGTATAAATGGTTAAACCCAGCGACGTTATGTTTTTTGTTGCACGTGGTGATTGCATTGATGTTTGATGGTTTAAAGGTGAGTTTGGTTGGGAAGCTGCTTTGTTTAAGATCTTGGTTGTAAATTGGTGCGGATTTTCGAAGGTATCTTTGCTGGAGGAGAGTGTCTTAATTTAGTTGTTGATGGATGTGGGTAGTTGGCGTAATACCGATAGTGGGTGGTTGGACGATCTGTGAATGTAAAGAGGCTCGTCGTTCGGTTTTCTATATGGGTTGTAGGTGTCGTTGCTCATGTTAAAGGTTACGTCAAGGAAGTTTGTGCGTTCATGGTTTGTCATCGCTGTGATTTTCAGTCCAAGCTGCGCTTTTAAGACACGCTAACGACACAACATTAAATCAATTACGAACATTACATACCGCAACAAGACAGAACTTTCTAAACACACGTGGACACTGAAAGAAAATAAACGAAACTTCAACATTAAATGGGACTTCATCAAACAACTTCCACCTCCGAACAAAAACCAAAAAACCTGCCGTCTTTGCCTTGAAGAAAGACTACTTATCCTAAAAGGACGTAAAAAGAACATTTTAAATAAACGTTCCGATATCTTTAGTGCATGTCGTCATGTAACCTTACACCTTCTAATCAATGTATATTGTCAGCGAATAATAAATAATCATTCAGTTGCCTGAAGATCGCCCAATGACTTGAAACTCCGAGTAGCGACAGCAAAAACTTGTCAATTTTATTTCATTTTATCTTACGCTCATCTAATATATAGAATATTGAGCACACTTTTAGCCGGGAATATTCTCCAATTAACATATTTACTAATTACTAATTATTATTATTAGACGCTCTAAGCGTCTACAAGCTAAAAGCACATGTAGGTATGTGTAGAGATAAATTCGAAGAGCGTAAGATAAATGAAATAAAATCGACAAGTTTTTGCTGTAGCTACTCGGAGTTTCACGCCGTAAGGCGATCTTCAGGAAACTGACAGATTATTTATTATTCGCTGACTGTATTGAATAATCGCATTGAATGATCTCATTCTTGATATTTACATATAGGAATAACATGCATGTTAATCGCTAGTCATAGATGATGCCCAATTTTTTCCATATTTATTCGTAGAATTTGACAAATTCATGTCAGTTTTTAGGTAATAAACGTTCTATATTTGGTTGACAGGGGGTAATAATTAACAAGCTTAAAGATAGCATATTTTGAGCTTAAATATTTTGCGAGTTAGTATTAAAAAAATCCCAAGTCAAAGTTTAAGAAAAACAATCTTTTATCATTTGCAAACGTTTTCAAGTTTGTTGAACAAAGTTCTTCTTTTGTTTAAGTTTCAGTTTGTTAACGCATTCGGATTGGCTCACAGCATGAAATTGTCAACAAAAGCGCTGATTGGTTTAACATTATTGGACTTTGCTGCTTATTGAATATTTCAGTGACCCAACTACGAGAATGAGATAAGCTTGTCGCACCAACTTTCCAACAGTATTTTAAAAGAACTTCATAAAAGTTACGTTAAGGCATGTTTTTTAATGATATATAGCAAAATGTGAAGGATTATTAATGCAGATGAATTCTAAAGCTATTTAAATATTCTGTGATACATTAAGTTAAGAATAAACATGAAATTACATATTACGTAATGTTTACTGGTGGTTACAAAATTAATAATCAACGAAGGAAGTTTTTACTTAATAAGTATTGACTAAAATGTATAATTATTTAAAAGTGCTGTTCAACAAAAGAAAATATTGACTGCAGAATGTATATTCTTAAACCAATAAGACGAGAATAAGCATATCAAGGCTGCTGATAAACACTATAAGAATGAAACTTATTACTGATATGCATTATTACTGTGACTAGATACAGTAGACTTGTTGCTAGCATCAGACTTCTTAGAATTCTTTCTGCTGCATATACAATATAAACCAAAAATTGCCAAAAATAAAAGTCCACCAAGAACTGGAAGTCCAACAGCAAGAAGATAAAACATCAAAGATTTTCCTTCTTCTAAAACAAAAATATATAGAATAAAATCTTTGCAAATTTTATCGTAACTGCATTAAAACATATATTTTTTTTACGTAATTTTTCCAATCGATTGTTCCAAAAGCCAAATTATTTAAAATTCCGTAGGGTTAGTTGTTTTCACTTATATGTTCAACCCGTTACCATACCACGCAGTGTGTTGAAAAAAAGGAAGATAAAATTCGAAATATTTTGGCTGGCTACGCCATTGAACTGGTTAAAATATTCAAAAATGAAATAAATTAATTCAAATTATATTAACCAAACATGCCTTGCACAAGAAAGTAGGAAGTATAGCAAGACTGCACGAGGGTTTACATAAAACGATTGCGTGAATGCTACAAAATTATTTTTACAATATTTGCATTATACCAGATCATATTATAATAACAAAATTTTGTTTGACGAGTACGTTGTACGTTATATATACTTGCATGTTAAAGACACTGACAATACTTTATTCGAAGATGTATTACCGTATTAATCAACTCAAGCCATGGTGGCTTCCCATGAGTCTATAAATCATTCATTCTAACGCCTATTGCTTAGCTTTGTTGATGCTAAAATCACCATGGATCGATAATTTCTTAAATTGCTAAAATATTCTTCATTATGAAACTTTGCAGCAATTCAAAGTAACAAAAACTTACCACATGATTCATTGTTAACAAAACCCAAGCGTATATGACCATCACAATCCGTACATGTTGCGTTGTTGCCTCCACAAACACCACAAAAATCTGGAGTTTTTCCACTATTCTGTACACCGTCACAACCAAATATAACAGGATCTAAGACTAAAATTTAGAATATTTCATTTCCTTGTCTGATTATAAATATGAAATCTAAGCCTCATACAATTTGTACACCCGAAAAAGCAATTCATTCTAACGGCATTTGTATACACGGAAAAGAAAATTCCCCCCAAAACTGGCTGAGCTATAATTAAAAGCAAAATAGAAGGTGCTTTAAAAATGGCACGATTTAACTTTAATTCATCCCTTAAATAGGGCAAACGCAATTTGAATGAATTTCATACTTGAATCTCATATTTTGCAATGTACAGTAAGAGAAGTTTGAATGTCTATTTAGCTTATTTCAAAAACAGGCTTTTTTAGCACCATTTATGCTGCGCCCTTGCAATATGAGAGTATGTTTTTAGTGTTTTATTACAATATTTAAATTTTATGCTAAATTTACTTACCCACTTTTGATTGATTTCTTCTTTTTTCGAGTTCACTGAGCGATTCCAAAGTTGCCTTACCGATATTCACTTTTCCAGTAACAGCAACGTCAAACAAGCATTCCTTATTTTTGCCACAAACAGAGTTTGCCTCCCTCTCCAATCTTAGGTTGGAGAAATGCAAGTTTGTTTCATCCAAGAAGACAGGAGTAAATCCATAATCAACAAAAGACTCGTAACTTTTCCCACCATGGTATGTAAAAAGACTTTTGTTTCGCTGAACAATCCCTGTACAAAACCCAAAAGCAAGTAAAAATTCTACGCAATTATCTTTCTCACTTTTTACTAATATCAAAAGAGAGGCTCACTTTTGTGGTTTATGATTCACCATTATTCACCATATCATATCATTTTTGAAATCATTAAATGTAGATATGTTGTACTATTAGTGTTAACATAATAGCCAACGTTACTATTTAACTAACACGAAGTAGATCTCCAACATGGAAGGAATACCTATTTATGTATTTTATGCTTTTTAAGCAATAGAAGACATATTGAAATTGAAATGCCAAAAAGAGCATCTCTTACAGTACTTGCCTTAGAACAAAGTTCTCTATTGCCTAATTTATTTTGTTTAAGTAAGAATAAATCATTTGCCTTTTTAGTATAATTAAAATATATATATATATATATATATATAAAAGTATGCTTTCACTGTAAGAAAAAACAAAATATTTGTACGAGCAAGTACGAATGTTGTTTTAAACTTGACACTTTTGTTATTAGTAAAACCTACATTTTGACCAAATTCGTAATGAAGCGTTCGATAATTTGTATTTGTTTGAATGAAACTTCCATTTGGCAACAAAATTCTCGCTCTTTGCTTCCATCCCAAAATCCAAGAAGGCCAGACGTTTTTCCTAAAATAGTAAAGTAGAAAAATTTTGTCTTACACCTAATCAATAGATGAGCTTGCGCTTATATCATTGCTATATTCATTACATGTTATATTACTTACTTATTACTTATTACTTACTACTATTGATTTCTATCAAACTAACTGGATTTGCAGCAGGGCCTGGGAACTGTTGTCAAAAACATGGATGCCAAAAGAAAATTTTGGATGAAAAACTTTTACTTGAAAAATTATATTTATTCTTCGCTCCCTTCTGATTTTTGAATGCTGTAATGTACTGTTTCAATACAAATTACAAAATACAACCAGGAAAAATAACTACTGAAACCTAAATCATGAAGATATGCTCTAGCGTTTTATGTAATACACACATTAATACGAAAAATATATAGGTAAAGAAGTCGACAAGGCATGAAAAGTTTTAGTTTAACCCCACAGCTACAGCATGTCTACTGCTAGATATATCTTGACTATGTTTGCTGTTGCGAAGCTGCTAAAGTGCTAGGATACTGGCTGTTGTACTTGTATGGTAGCAGAATGCTATTTTGCAAGCTATTGCAATAGCATGGAGAAATATTCATTACAACTCAGGACCAAATGATGAACAGTACTGTATTTTTTTATGAGAAATTATCATTTACGAAATTGTAGCATATTGGCTTTGTTGACATAACATTTTTTCTTGCTGCATGAAAACAAAATTGTTTCGATAGTAATCTCTCAATGAAGATATTTCCCAAGTTTCATAAATATAATTGTGCATTACGTGTAATGTTTTGGCATTTTGTAACATGTTAAGAATCAAGTTTGGACAAAAAATTTGTTTAAGAAACTAAAATTAAACAAAAAGACTTTGCCACGGCAATTTGTTTGTAACGGTTCACCTTCACACTTTGTAATTCAAAATTGTTTATAAATTTCATATTTAATTTATTTAATCATTTTATTTATTTCTACTTCATCTTCATCAGATGTGTGCAAGTTTATTGTTTACATTTTGGCTTCTTATGCCTTCAACTTCATTGCAGCCAATGAACAAATGTGAATCTTGGATCATATTGAATTACACCAAGGGTGAATGTTTGTCAGTTGAGGCATTGCTATACTTTTTATGCACAAGGTAAAATTCTTTTCTTGAATAAAAATTTTAAGGTAGAAGCAAATATTGGCTCAGTATTGTCTAAAGCAGTTCTTTTACTTAGGTTTTGATTTATAAACATCGTTTACTATTACAGTGCAAACCTTATTAACAGAAACAGCAAAGGTCATTGACAACGTACAGCTTAGAGCAAACCTTTGCCCATATTTAAAACCTTTGTTGTTTGCAAGGTGTCACTTTTTTGAAAACAAGCTAGGAGTTGAGAGCTAGGAGGTCAAGATCTTTTTGTAGTAGTTGACAAGTGTGGCATTTAATTTCAACACAACGTTGACTATGCTCAAATTCCCATCATATATTCTAAAAAATATTATAAACAGACCCTAATCCATTTCCTGAGAATAAATCGCTAAAACTCAATTCATAATAGGGGAATTTTTTTGATTAGTTTGATGCAAGGTATGCACATTTCGAAAAGTTTCACAGCGCCTGGCATGCATTTACCGTATTAAATAAAATGGTTGGGCCATAACTAAAGCATAACGTTGTGATAAAAGTTTCACCAAAAAAATGCCATAACACCGCATGTAGAGTAAAAGGAAATAATAAATGTTGAAAACTGAAGTATTTGAACACTTTGAACGATGAAAACAATTATCTTGCTTACTGGCAGTCTCATGAAACCACTAAAATGTTTCATTTCTTTGCACATCTTTGACAACCGTATATCTAACACATTTTCAGCATGTTCTATTGATGAAGTTTTAAAAATATTTTACGATTGCAATAATACTTTTAATATTCTTTGTCGTCGCATACATATTATAGAATAGGATTATAGTGTTGGTTGAAATCAGGAGGAAGGAGAAAGTTTATAAAACATGTGCCTGTGCATCTCCGCTTACATTTTTATCGAGAATTTGCCATATAAGAAATGGCGGCATCCATGTTTTTGACAGCATTTTGCGCTTAACAAAATATAATAATTTTGATGCGATTGTACGTCCAGGTAATTAGTATACATGTCAGTGTTTACTACCTATTACTCATTTTTTATTACTTTTTATTTACTATTTATTACTTAGTATTTATTACTTATTGCTTATTGTTTGTTAATTATTACTTTTTACTTAAAACTTATTCTCTAAAGAAGAAGCTAAAAAATTAAGTAAGCAATAAAGTAAAAAGAACAAAAACGTGTTATTACAACGAGCTTAGTGATTTTAGAAGTTTAGCAAAATCACCAACGCATTTTCTGTGCGACATAAAAAGGTAATTAGAACTTAGTTTAATTATTTGCATGTAGATTTTTCCGACAAATTCCCCAATTTCTGATGAATATGAAAAACTAAGAATAATCACTTCTAGTGTCTGTTTATCAATGTGATCTTTGCAAACTATATGACTTACTTCAAAATAGGAATATCATTAATTTTAGTCATGTTGCATTCAAGTATTATAAAAAGATGATAACCTTTAAAAGTTGTTGGGATTGCAATCTGGTAGGTTAAAAAAGTTTCTATTGATTTTATTTCAACAGAAACTCCAGAAGAAAAGTAAATTCCGATTTCTGTTCGATTGTGTTTAATCATGAAAACGTTGCTGAAATCAAGTCTTCTTTGCTCATCAAATTCCACCTTTCCTCCATTGACAAATGCAACAATTGATCGTCGGCTGTTGTACTCAACCTTTGTTAAAAAAAAGAATTGCTAAAAATGATACCATATGTTGCTACATTATGTGCATTTTGTTTTTTTATTTCAAAAACTGAAGTATATTTCTATTATTAAAAACATGAAAAAATAACAAAGAAAAGATTGCTTTATTTCAGCATAAAATTAAAGAGCTTATGATGATTTGTCTGATAAAAAACATATGATATTATTACTACGTTTCTATGTTCCACATGGCTACCTGCACAACATCACTTTCCGCGTTTTTTATTGCCAGTGCTGTCAACGCTGTAGCTCTTGTACTAGCACCACGTGAATTCAATATTGATGTCATTCTTCCCTGAAATTTTAGTTCTTCACCATTCTCGATATTTAGTAGAATATACTCGCCGTATCCATTGAATGTGTAAAACGTTCCATCAAACGTAGACAAATGTGGATCTCCTCTAGTATCAGCTGGTAAAGAAATTCAAAAGAGTATGATAAAAAAGAAAATTTATGGTCATGGGTGGATTTGAGACTATATTGGTTAGATTCGTTAGTTGTATAGTATGATTACGCTGGAAAAGGGTAAGACTTTTTAATATTACATGTATGAAGTACACCCCTTCCTATATTATGACAAAAGCCTATTTATTGATGACAATATTTCAGAACATTTTCTCCTAAACTAATAAACATTCTGTGAAGTTACTTTGTTTTTGCTCACAGCCCAAGACCCTGGCTCCAAAGATATTTTCTGCCAAAGCCGAAACTAGCATTACAAAAACACTTTGCATGCCTTAGATATGCCAAGTTAAAATAATGCAGATGATTATAATCTGGCATTTTTTCGCAACTTTTGCTAATTAAAACAACATAATGAACCACTGATCGAAATGATACAGCTCTGCCAAATTTGGTGCTTTGCTCATATAACAAACGATTTTGCTAAAAATTGGTCTATAACTGCCCCACTTAATAGAACATTTTTAACGCAGAAAGGTTAAGTTATTGTGAACTAAAGCGATAACAATAGCTGGCAAAAAATTTAAGTAAAGTGTCTTTCTCGATCGATTCTATAAAGTTCCTCTTATGTGGAATTATGTTATGAAGCAACAGTTTTATATCTGCAGAATTGAGAACCTTTATGTGAATTAATAATAAATGGCTTAGTTTCTTAAGCACTCTATGAAAAGGGGACTTGTGATTTTTTAAACTCAGCCTACAAATTGGACTGGAAGTCATGAATGTAGTTTACTTGTATTTTGTCAAGTGATGCATCGTGAAAATATTTCCCTATTATTGTTATTCTTTTGCAAATATACCTTAAAATAGTTTAAGTGTTTCGATGATAGGGCCGTTTTTAAGAATTTGTCTTTGTCATAATTTTCAGTTATTCTTTTTATACTTATTTTGGACCATTTCGTAAAATAATCTGTCAAATTTCACCATGTACGTTATTTCTAATACACATCTTTAACATTGCAAAGACTCACCAATAGGAGGAGCTAAATATCTGGATCCATCGTCTGAGGGCCGTCTTTGATAGTATTTTGCACAATTATCAAAAAGTGATAGTTTACAACAAGCGATCCAGGGCACGACATCTTGTAAAAAATGACTGAATGTACTTTTATCTGGCGATACAACATCAAGTGATCCTCCACCAGGAGGCCCCACTATTAATCGATTTAAAGAATCATAACAACACTGCTGACCAGCTCCTGATGGACTAAGTAAAAAAAAAATTTATAAAAATTATCGTTATACACCAAAAGTAAAAGTGAAATTTTTCACTTCTTTCATAGAAAATTATACGCTATATAAAATATGTTTTGGGCGATCACAATGCTGTTTCCGTGAAGTTTGGCAGTCTATTTGTCGTCCAAGGATAACAAACGTTTTCAAAATACTTTTCTGGAGAAATGGCATGCTCTATTAAATAAGTTGTTAAAGTACACATGCTCATGATTATTCATAAGAGCATTGTTCCATGCATTTCAAAGAAATAAAGGCATAAACAAATAAATAAGTTTAAGAAAATAATGGAATGTTTATCTGTTTGTTTTAGCATTTAATCCAAAGTCTTCATTCACTCATCCATAGTTTTTGTAAATACCAAAGTCTACTTAAAAACAACTGGCTTTAAATGACATACATATTTGAAATGAAACACTCATACGGAATCAAAATGTCCACGCCAGAAATTCTATGCAAAAACATTTACAAACTTAAAAAATAAAGTAGGTTTTGTACCAATAAAAGGAGCTTGTCAGCTCAGGCTGGAATGTTGTAGCTTGTTGTAATCAAACATTTCTACATTTTTATCATCACTTGCATCAAAGCATTTCAGCTCTCTATTCATTTACTTGACAATAGAAATTTAAATCAATGAAATTAATTTAGGCTATAAACTACCAAGAATACCAAAAAGATTTCAAAAGAAACATGTGGCAATGAAAATTTAGGAAATAGGGTGCATTTGAAAATAAAAGTATTGAAAAAACTTACCTGGGATTTCGAGAGCGAAAACAAGACTCACTCCCTGGGTGAAAAAATTTACTTAAAATTATTTTCACTCCTTTGTCTTCTAAAAATTGCTCATCTGCTCTTGCTTGCTGTAAGCTTCTGGGGCATGCGGGTAACTCATCTGTTTAAGAAAAGATACAAAAAACATGAGCATTGGAAGAAATATTAGCTCTATACTTCTTTTTTGTTTCATTGTAAATGTCATTTCAAATTAAGAACAAAAATTGTCTTACATACTTTGTAATCTTGCAATTTTATTTGCATCTTGTAAAGCATGCCAGGTTCTGCAGTAAATTTCTCCAACCACATGCAACATAAAAATAGGACTAAAAAGTCGTTTGAATAGTTTGCCAAGAAATTTAAAAAATCTTTTTTGTCGAACAACAGAAGCTGTGATGCTAACAATGGCGATGGATGGTCTGTCATTCAAATTTCTTTTTGTCGTATTGTTTCTATAAAAATAATCACAATTATTTGCACTTGCATATCTAATTTAGTATATTGTCAACTCAATATTTGAGTTAAATATCATAAATGTTTTAAATAGTATATTTGAATTAGAATATTCCAAAAGAAATATTTCCAATTAAAGTGTTTCATACCTATCAAAACACAATACCAAATTGAATTATTTAATCTTTATCATCTGGGAGTAAATATTTTTTACATCAATTTTTACTTTTTTCTTGATTGGCTTGTATAATGAACTTATTGTGCGCATATACAACAAACCTCTAAAAACTAAGGGCCGTTTATATGATTTCGGGTACTGGGGTTACCTTACCTGATGGGGCAATGTTATGTAGCGTTTACATGAGAGATTATTGTAAACTGCAAGTGCTTTTTTCAAGAAAATATCAAAGCAAAGGGCTTCTATACTTTGATGGGCATTCAAAGAGATTGACTGCATTAGTTTTTGGAAAAGTGATCAACTGACGAAAGTCTGTGCTGCAAAAAGGAGTTTCGACAATGAGGCGAAAGCCGTTGAAAAATATAAACATGGTTTTGTAAAGGAAAATATTTTAAGTTGTAGACTCAAATTCAGTCATAAATGGCCTTAGCCTGGGTTCAGCTCTTATTCGGTCATGTTAAAACATGGCCGTGTTGTTGGTTGTATTGAAGTAAAATGTCCATTTACAATTCGAGATTTAAAAATTAATGGTGGAGTAGAAAGTGGCAAGATTTCCTTTCTCAAAAATATAAAAACTGGATTAAAACGGAAAGAAAATCATCTCTATTTTTATCAATGCCAGAGTGTAATAAACATTTTGAGCATTGATTTGATTAACATCGTTGTTCATACAAACATTGACATGCATGTTGAATGCATTTATACAAGTATATTATGTTGGAAGACAAAACTACTTAATAATTATATTTCTTTTACATTCTTACTTCTCTAAAAAAAAGAAAAATTTATACAATAACAAAGTCTGCTTTGTTGTTTTAATAATTTTCCTGAACTACATTTACTGCATATGGGTGATTACTAAGGCATTGTTACAAGATACAACTGTCTATGTTTTCTCTACAAAAAGTGGGGCAAAACGTTAATAAAATAACAACAAACTACTAAACTTTTGGAAAGATCTGGGGCCACGGAAATATGAAAAAACATAAATAAGTTTCTAAGTTCTTAATTCTTGCAATAGCTTTCTTTCTACATGAATCCTAACAGAGGAAATCTTACGCGTTTCTCTTTCTTCATCCAGAGAAAGTCTCTTTGCTTTGTGCTCAGAAAAGGAGGATTATTTAATAATACCCCAGAAGGCAAGTCTCTTCTTACGTCAAATCCTTTGTCAGCCATAATCGAGTCTCCCTTCTCTAACATGCTAAATATACCAAAGTTATTTGTAATTGTTTGTCAAAACACCTTCCAACGTAAAGATCTGAAGAAAATGAGACAGTTCCAGTTGGACTAATTCCAATAAAACCTATGCAGTAATGTGATGCTATTGTTTGAGTATGTCACATATTGACTTCTACATGAGGTTGGTGTTTCAATAAAAATTTCAGGGCAATCAATGATTACTCTAGTTAAAAGATACATTTCTTTAAATGCTGTAGGCATTGTTTAATTGACTAAATCTCTAGAAGCCAAATTGGGTAAGAACAAAACCTTGAACGGAAAAAGTCAATCTAAGTGGTAAAGATACTTTGAATATGTGATAAAAACAAGCCAACCATTGTTGCTAAGTCTTTTCCCATCGGACGCAACTGAAACTAAAAAAGCACAATAAAGAATTCTTGCTCAGCAGTTAGAGATTTTTCCGAACTACGTTTATTCACATCATCTGAGGTAAACTTGGAATAGCTTAGTATTGCATCCATAATAAAATAACTACTCCCTTTAGGACCAAACGATTCAAACTGACGTTTAAATATGGAGTAGTCTTGGATTCCAGTGTAAAACCTGAAAATCTTGTCATTATTTTTAAGGAAATCCAATGAAAAGTTATCGTTATTTGTTTGCTCCATCAGATGCTCAAAATCAAGCTTTTGCTGCCTATTTTCAGCTTTCAGCTGATGATTTTCCATCCTAAATTTTTTTATCCGTGCTAAACGTTGAGATAATTTATCTTTTAAAGAAGTGAGCTCTATGGTCCTTACAGCAGCATCAACTATGGACTCATCAGAAAACAATCTGCTTGTTTTCAAATGTTTTGTAACTCCTACAAAAGGCATCCTTTTTCTTGCTTTTTAATTGGCCGAAGATAAGTTTAAGAAAGTTTTATATCTTTTGGAACAATAGTTGGAAATTGACTTAAGCAGGTCTTACGTCCACCTTGGAAGTGTAGAGAACACACTCGGTGCCTGGACTTTGGATAAAAATCCATTTATGATCCACTTCTTTTTAAGATCTGGAGACTTCTTAATTTGCCTCCAAGGAAATTGTGAAAAGAAAGCTCAAGATTTCTTTTGTTGTTTGAAAAGCAACCAGCAAACAAAATGTAAACACATCAGAAACCCCTGATCGTTCTGCTGACAAAACATCGTTTACCGTAGGCTCACTGAGACGTTCTGAGCTAGAAGACTTTTGACGACACGGTCAAGAGTTTTCAAAAGAACTATATAGGGCCTTAAGTCGTACTTCTTGAATCAGACACGTTACTAAAAACGGTAGTAAACTCTCTTTCACTACTGGTCATAATGCAATGTTTTCATTTGCGTAATTACTAAGACCAAAATGAAACGCGCGTTTCACGCTATGTGACATAATAATGCATGTTGCCATTAAAATATTCGACACACATGGAAGTCTGACTGATTCTTTTCATGCACACGACGAAGTGATACATCCTTCAACTCAAAAATTAACATTGGCTGATCTGTACAATATAACTACTTGTTGCTATTCTGTAAAATATTTCAGCTCAATTGTTAAAAATAATGGAGAAATAGCTCACAAAAGTTTGAATTGTTTTGTAATTTTACGCCATATTAATGTAGTTGCGGTTTTTTCAAACGGCTTCAATTTGTGACCTTATTGTGTGATTCGAACAGCATATGCCATTGTTTTTATCAACACATTATATAATAATAATGGACTCCGTCGATTTCGACATATGAGGGTTCCACGAAGTGGAACATCCTGGTTACTTAAATTATAGTGAAGGCAGCTGATCAGACTACAATCACTCGTACCTTTCACGCAACTACAACGCTGATATCAGCGTGACACATTTGTGACAAGGCTGCAACATTGCAGATGCAGATACAGTCCATCCGAGGACATAGTTTCCTCTACCAAATTTCCCTCACATGGCTTTGGTCAACCCGGGCTAGGTTTACAGACACATTGCCAGATGTGCCACGAGCCCAGTAAATGAAAACATGAACAAAAATATCTAAAATTTTTATGAAGAAAGTTCATTGAGCTATTTTGGTGAGAGTCTTAATGAGTCTATAGATGATCGTCGACAAACAAATGAAATTGTTGGCTACTAATTTGAGCTAAGACGATTAAAGCTACAGTTTAAGTCGTCTGGTGGTCTCTAAGTGGTCTTAAAGACGTCAAGAAGATGAGAACCACAATATTAAGGCCATTTCTGCAAATACTGATAAATGATGATTGAAATTTACTTTATGCCTAAATTTGCTGTTGCGTGCGCCGAAATCTATTAAATACTCAGAATGCTTTGTATTGATACAAACAACATTGAAACAGAAACTCTACATACGATATGGGCAAAAACATAAATTGCCACATCAAGTAGCTTATCGTCAGCTTGTACAATGGTGTTGGAGAGAATATCATCATTTCCCAGACGAATAGCAGGCACATTATTTGTATCTTTTTGTCGCTCTTGTTTTCTTGCATTAAGACAAGCAATTCAAAACTGTAACTTCTTCAGCTTAAATTGGTAGCCAAGAATTTCACTTGCCGTCCAACTACCATCAATAAACCTGTCAATCTCGCACCCAAAGAGCTTAATGAACTTTAATTTTTAAAATTGTAAATATTTTTTCGCATTCTGGCTTTTAATTTTAACTTGCAGTTCACATCACGCAATCACGTCACAAACTCAAGCCGCTGAATTATTTGCGTCTGCAATGATATGGCGTCGCTTGCATAAAATGCCAGTTTCTGTCAGCTATTTGTTCTTCAATTCAGCAGAAATATTTCACGGAATAACTACAAATAGTACTATCTTCTATATGAGCCAGTGGTGATTTTTGAGTGGAGTTCCCCTTTGGGATAATAAAAATATATGATATAGATTTTTTTCTTCGCATCAAAGTTTGTTTTTAAATTTTTTAAGACATAAAGAAATATATTGCAGAAATTTGGGCTTAAGCAACAAGTTTTCATTTAGTTTTTGAATCAATCTTTTTTTCGAAGATTAGATTTCTTTATACCCTGCTGTATCAGTACCATCAGCATTATCTTGTGGGCTTTTCAAACCACGCGCAAACTTTATAGCATTTTCTACAAAAAGTCACGGTTATATCCTGTTACAAAATAAATTTTTAATCTTCAGGTAAGCAATGTTCAATTGACTTTATATGTTTTTCAGAGATGTTAGTCAGGCAGATAAATGAAGAAAATTGAGTAAAAACTTACCATACCTAGGGGCAAATTCATTTTATACTAGAATTGTACATAAACACCTTTAAAAAACGTGTGAAGAAGTCGGCGAGCAAAAATGTTCTTGAGAACAAAAGGTCCGACTAATAACTTTTACCGACAGCGTTTGGTTTGTTTTGAGAGGCGCCACGATTTTTGAATAATTTTGCAGGAAGAAGTGAGACTTGGCTATTTTGATCAGCGGCACTTTAGCATACTTAATATAAACTACCTAAAAACTGTATGTTCGCCTGGCATGTTGCATTGGTTGCATGTATTGTCTGACAAATCATGTCTAGAAAACGAAAAAATATACCGTATGAAGTCGATGTGAGTATTTCACCGCCAAAAGCACAAAAAACTCCTAAGAAATAACTAAGAAAT